ATCGCATACATCGAACGATCCGTATGCGACCTGTAGACGTGACACCTGAGGCTGCCGAGAGACTCTTGTCAACGGTGTACAGTCGAACGAAGATAGCCGCTCCAGGAAGATTCAAGATCAATGACGCGGTACGCGTGAGCAAATTCAAAACGATATTCGAAAAAGGCTACACACCCAACTGGACTACAGAAATATTTCGCATCGCCAAAGTACAACAGACAACAAAATACAACAGACTAATCCTGTGACGTATCTATTGAACGATTATCGCGGACAACCAATAGCTGGGGGTTTCTACGAGCACGAATTGTCACGAGTCGCCAATCCCGACGTTTATCTAGTGGAAAAGGTTCTACGTAGAAAAGGCAATGAGGTATACGTAAAGTGGCTAGGAATGGATAATTCACACAATTCATGGATACGCAAAACAGATGTATTATAACAAAAGCTTTTATTCATGTATGCAATAAAGGTATACATTTGTTTACATGTATTATTATTATTATTATGGCACCCTGTAATGTCCCCAAGGCAAAGTATCGTAGGATTCGAGCATGACGTCGTGAGGACTGAGAGCGAGTTTCGTTTCGGAAACGGTGTACACCTCATGCAGTCTCGACCGCACGCAGAATTGCGATCTCGACTGCTCCGTCATATCGCGCAAACATTGCATGAAATCATCGAACGTTATCGTTCTCTCGACTACGTTTCTCTTTACACCCTTTATCTTTTTCGTGTCGCTCATTCCGAGCACTCTCACGGCATACATCTTCGCTCTCAAACCTACGAATTCTATCATAATCGCGCCACGATTCTCATCCTTCATCAGACCCGGAACGCTCTTGTTCGCGCGCGGCATACCGTACGCGTTGTTCTCGGCATAGTCGCTCGTGTTGAATCTTTCAATGGAGCGTTTCATGTCCTCATAAATATCGTCACATTCGACGAAATAAATCAGACTGTCCGTATCTGTATACATTACCTTACACACACCGCGATACAAGGGCACCATATAATCATAATGAAAATCGTATAATCGCGTTTTTGATATCTCCAGAATGGCCATGCCAACGTAGATTGGTTTCACGAGCTTTACCTCCAGTTTCCGTAACTCAACGGCCATCAGATCCTCGGAGAAAATGCTTCTACTGTGGAAATTCGGTCTTGAAATTAGCGCTTCCGCTCCGTACCTTCCCTTCCAACGCGTCACAAGACGCACGTCAACGTGCTCGCGCACGTTTTCCATTGTCTTCCCGTACACCGCGTTGTTCATAAGCTTATACATATTTCTCTCGAATTCGTTATTCGCACGAGTTCTAAACATTGTATTCAGTTCGATGTATCCACGCAGCCATGGTGATTGTGCAAATTGTAAAACGCGATGAATTTTAAGTATACGCATCCCATAACGCACACATTGCTGCAAATTGCAATAATGTATGACATAGCGCGACTTATCGTGAAGCGTCGCTAGAAGCTTATCGGTAACCTTGCGCGGGTGAGGCGCGCGTTGGGCAGAACGGAAGGTCCGCGTGGGCGTCGTGGAGCTCGCGCGGATACGCAAGATCCACCTCCATAATGTAGCCGATATCGGAATCCGCGGTCACCGACATTACGTTTAGACTCTCCACGTCCCTGACCCATTGAAATTGCGCGTACGGCAATGATTCACACATAGCCCATCCGTAGAGATTATTCACGTCATAGTACATGAGATATGTCGACGGTTTCAACGGATCGTATGACGAAAGATACTTATTATTAGCTCGCGCGTATCTGTTGGAACACTGACTCAGACCACCGCGTACACCACGTTTAACAAAGAGAAGCATATCGATATCGGTCAACAATTCGAATCGAACACCCGTATGTTTCAAT